GTTTTAATTTAAAAACTACTTTAATTTCTTCTATATTATTCGTTATAATTTCGATTGAAGCATGGCTTATACCGTTGGGCTCGTAATTCATTTTTCTACAATATGATAAAAGTTCATAATTGTTTGAAAAATAAAATGTTTTTCATTAATAAATAATTCAATGTTTTTACGTTAAATTACTATTGAGGGAGCACGACTTGAATTTTCTGTAATATTTATTTCTGATTTTCTGTGTAATTATTAATTACTTGTAATTCTAGAAAATTTCAAAAAATTGCAGAAATTATTAAAAATATGTTGTGGCATTATTTAAATACTATATATAGTATGTTAAATTCTTTTAAATAATTGAAACTTGTAGTATGTTATTATTTTAAATAGCGTGATTTATTTATATTAGTAAATTTTAATTCCATTATTAAATTTTTTTTTTTTAATGAATTACATTGAGATGTTATCATGTGGAGTCAAATATTTTATTATGCTTTAGACATGCCCTAGTTAGTGAGAGATTATTTGGTTGAGAGAAATCTTTATAGATTTACTTCCAAAAATCAATATTTTGCGCATGAATTAAATTAAATTTTGGATAATTGTCACTTGTGACACAAGAGATGATTACGAGCATAGCGTATTTTCAATCTTGCGACTTGTGTAATATTGTTACTATTTAATTTAGATTTTTGCAGCAAAATTCTATTGTGATATGCTAATCAAATTAATCCCAATGCGCATTTTTTCCTCTAAATTTGGTTGACCTATACTTAGTAGAGATGTTCGAATGTGAACAATATAATCCTATTATTTAGATGAGCAGAAAGTCTTGGAGACTTTAGGTCAGACCTTAATTGAGCCAGAATAAGGAAACATGACCCAACGTCGCCGTGGTTTTGTTGCCTTGATTGGTGCAATAAAAATTGATGTGTGCGCTATGATTAGCAACATGCTAAGTAACTTTGATTGACGCGTTTGGAGTTGTGAAATTAGTAAGCCCTCAATAGATCTAGATATGATCCTAACTATTGAGCTGAGCAAATTGACTTTGTAATTTGACTTGTAATAATGTTGCATTAGTGGATAAAACAACATCCAAGAGTCACGTCATCTAAGAAATGCGAGCTTAAATGAGTTAGTCATTAAGTGTAAGATGAGTAGCCAGTATGAACAGTGTTTTGCTCTCTACCCAATTAATGGAAGTGGATGGAGCAAAATTTCATGCACTATGATAGTGTGCGTTGAAGCATATCACTTGGAGTTAAAAGCTTAGCACTTAGAAGCTACAAAATCTATTAACACTAAGTGAGAAAATTAGTGCCTAGCGGCTGCAAAATCTATTAGCACTGCGAACTTGTCTAAGTCTAGACACTTGCTATTTCCACACTTGAATGTGAGACATGAGGAGGTGCTTATTTGTGTGATTCTTTAGCTAGGCTAACTCTTTTGAATGGCGTTTACTACTAAGTACAAAAATTGCAGCATAGTAATGAAAAGGTCAAGGTCGACAAAGTTGTTATGACTTTAAGAATTTGACGCATTGCTTGTGAGAGCATTGTGTTGAATTAGACTCTTTAGCCTAATTCGCGCTTAAGTCACTTAGGAGCTGTCATAGTTGATAGCTTATTCTCTCCTTCTTGTGGATAGTAGAATTAATTGCAAGTAACTATGAAGCGAGAAATAGAAAT